CTTTGGACCTTTTTTCCTATTTCAAATTATCAATTATTCATTTTAATCATTTTAACCCTTATTTACACTGTCAGTTTTTCACACTAGAGAAACTATTCAGTAAAAATTTTTACTTTTTAATAGTTTAAATCCCTTTTTACTGTGAATACCAAGGATGTGTCTTCTATTAGTTAAAAAAATATGAATGATCTGTTAAATTTGTTTTGTTCCAGATATGTTTTCTTCTTTTTGCCGTTCTTTATGTTGTTTCCTACTTTATCATCACAAGATACAAGAGAAAATCAGGCAAGTAGACATGTTTTAATTAAAACTTTTATTACAGTGCCCTGTGATGTAGACACAGTATAGGGACTGTGTCAGTGTACTTTATAGTGGTAGTGTATTGAATATGTAGGTGATTGAAACCAACAGTTGCCTGGTACTAAGAACACTAAAAATAACTTCCAGGTTATTTGACTTCTTGTAGGGTCACTCTCTTACACTGTAGCCTCCTTGTTTATCACAATTCTTATGTCTAACTAGTAATAGGGCTGGGCAATTTAGTACCTGGGAAATTCCAGAATTTATGAGGATATTTGGTTCCTTGTGGCTGGCTCTCATTTTCGCCCCCACACATCCCTTTTCTGACTAGTGACCATCTTTCTCGACAGCAGTATAGAATTTATAGTCTTCACAATAGTCTTGGTATTTAATTATATAGTATACTTTTATTACTTTATATTATCCTGAGCTAGTCAGAAAGATCATTATATATCTTTATTTATTTATTTATTTGATTTTTTGAGACAGTGTCTTGCTATGTAGTTCAGGTTGGTCTTGAGCTTACTATGTAGCTCAGGCTCACCTTGAACTCGGTGATCCTCCTGTCTCAGCCTCTTGAGTTTATTCTTTTTAAAGAATGAACTTTGTACTGATTAACAGATTTTTTAGGCCAGTGTTTTATAAGTATCAAAGCAATGTCCTTTCTAATCTCAGCTATTTTCTAGAAATCACAAGATTTTCTACCTGTGGTGCTGAGCTGATAGTTGCTATATGATGCTTAAGAGTTCTATGTATTAAATAATTTTTTACTAGTATGTTATTACTTTAATTACTATCAAACATTTGAGACAAATAAGGGAGATAGTTCTTGCTCTCATGAATTACTCTAGTATTACTGGTTAGTTCTGTGGGTGCAGTGAAATACTACTTGGATTCTGTAATCTCTTAAAATCTTGAGCATCTGCACATCCAAGCTATTTTAAAAGATATTTTGGTGTATATGTGCTGCCGAAGCGAGCACAGATATTTTGGTGTAATTTCATAGATTATGGACACAGAACCTAGTTGGTAGTAGAATTTAAGTGGATATGGAGGTGTTACAACAGTTGTCCAAATTTAACAGTTGACTGGATGTAGGCACGGCAACATAAAAAGCATGTCTAAGTTCTGTGGTCGCTTTGGTTGTAAAGCTGTTCTGGGAAACCTGTAATTAAGGATGGGCCCTGGACTAGCAGAATGGCCCAGGTACACCATTGGCACTGAGGCAGAAGAGTACCCAGAACCTAAGAAGACCTAAGGAGGGAGCCCGTGAGGACATTAGGTGTAGGACGTGCAGGAGGGGCCTGGAGTGTTTTCAGTGTGCGTGTGATTGTGCAAAGGCTCTTTGGCTCTGAGTTTACGTGTGTGGGGGCAGAACAGATGATGACAGGCCTGAGAGGGAAGGAGAAGGGAAGATGACTGTCAGCGCAGCTGTTTGCTTCTTAAAAAGATACAGAGACTTGATGTTTTTATGTCTGTATTGTGAAAAGTAATTCTGAATTATTGAGGTGGTAGTATCGAAGGTAGTATAGGATGTTCAAGAGAACCTCATTATTACTGTTACTAATGACAAACTTGGATTAAGGAAGACTATAGATTTTAATTTGATAGTAAAAACTTTTATTGGGTATTACCAGAAAACTTCATTTATTAGCAGTTTTTATTTAACATGTTTAACAGTTACTGGTCCTAAGGTTCAACTGAGTTTTATTTTCTGGATTAAATATTTGGAAAATTTTAATTTATATGTGGTAGTTAATCAGGGCTTAAAAAAAAAAATCAAAGCACTTCACTCTAATCATATACCATCCTACCAGATTTAATGAGGTTTGAAGTGGGATCTTTGCTGAAGTAAACACACTACTCTTTAAAACTCTTTTCCATTCACTAATTGCTTTTTAAAGTTTATATTTTTAAATAAATTAATGAAACATTTTGTTGGAAGATAAAAGAATATTAATACTTTAAATATTTTTGCAGATGAACAAGAAGATGAAGATGCCATAGTCAACAGGATTTCGTATGTATCCTCAAATTCAATTCTATTTCTTTTTTTTTTTTTGGTGCTGGGGATCAAACTCAGGACCTTGTGCTTATGAGGCAAATGTGCCGCCACTGAGCTAAAACCCCAGCCCAATTCTTCTATTTCTATTTCTGAAGTCAGATTTGGAAAACTTAATCTAATTTTTGGAAAGAAATATGAAACAAATCTCCAATAATTTTATAAATATTAATCCTAATCTTGAAAAGCATATATAAGGAAATAAGCTTGTATAATCAAGGATTGATTATCTCCTGTTAAACTTTACGTAGTTAAGGAGCTGTCAGTTTTATCTTCAGAGAAGTTAATGAGGAAATGGGCTTGAGCTTGGGAAAAGTCTGCGCTGTTTGAGTTGTTTGCTGAGAAGGCTGTGGCTGTAGTGAACAGGAATGGAAGTAGAATACAAAAAGTTTTACCCCGTGAGCCACTGGAGAAGTTGCTGTTCTGATGCTTCACTTCGTCATGTGTAACTCCTATAAGCAGTGCACTCTCCTGTGGAATTGCCATATAGCCATCAAAGTAATGAAGTTCACTCTGATTCAGTACACTATTATCAGTTGTCCCAGGAGTGCCCATTATGGCAGAAGGGTTGTTTCAGAAGCACACACTGCACTTAGTTGTCGTGTCCCTTTAGTTTCTCTCAGGTGCAAACACTCCCTCAGTATTTTATTGACTTTGCTGACCTAGATACTTCCGAACTTTATGGGTCAGTTATTTGGTTTTTTCTGATGTTTCTTCCTGGTTACCTTCAGATTATGCCTTTTTTGTTGGAGGGGAGAGGAGAGAAGCTGAGGAAAGGAGAGGAGGGAGAAAAAAAGATCACATGTGCTTACACACACATCTAAACACATGCATCCCCACATGGTGGAAGAACATTCAGCCATAATGAGAAAGGGCTACTTATATATGCTGTAGTGTGGATGTCTTAGTTACTTTTCTCATTGCTGAGACAAAATACCCAACACCCACAGGTTAAGGGAGGAAAGGTTTATTTGGCTCACCATTCATAGAGTTTTCAGTCTGTAGTTGGTCGGCTCCAAGGCAGGGTAGCATGGCAGAGGGGCATCCGTCACAGAAGACAAGCAGCAGCAGCAGCAGCAATAAATGACAAGCCACGACTACAGCTAGTTCTGTCCCTTATATTTTACCCAGGCTAACACTCACACCCTTGATCCTAGTTGTGATTGTGAATCAACTCCAGCATCACATCTTTGATCCCAGCAGCACAAACCCTAAATCCAGCCACCTCCATAAAGCCCCACCTGTGACTGCATGAGGCTTTGGGGCTACATCTAGAAACAGCCATAACAGTGGAGGAACTGCAGAGATAATCGAAGCACACAGGAAAGGTCTCATGGTGTAACACTCTGTAAGAAAGCTGCAGTGCAGAGACATCAATCCAAAGCAGACTGATGGTGCATATGCTGAGGTGGAAGGGGCATAGGGGATGGCTGCTTCATGGGTTTTTATTTGGTGGTGATAAAATATTTTTGGAACTAGAAAGTGTTAAGAGATTATAAAACATTGTGAATGGACTAGACACTACTCAATTGTTCACCTAAATTATTTTAAATGCCCTAGGGAGGTTGGATAAGAAACAAAAACAATTGTAATTTCACACTGGGAATTCTCATTCTGTGGGTTTAAAATAGGCATCAAAGTTGGTGTTTTATTTTATTTTATTTTTGGTACCTGGGATCGAACTCGGGACCTTGCTCTTGCAAGGCAGGCAGTGGAACCACTGAGCTAAATCCTTGGCTGGTGTTTTAAGTTTATAGGGTTAGCTGGGGTGGTGATGCATGCCTATAATCCCAGAACTTGGGAGGCTGAGGCAGGAGGCTCAAGGCCAGCCTGAACTGCATATCGAGACCTTTCCTCAGAAAACAAAAACAAAAAAACAAACAAAAATTATAGGATTAGGGTATTTTAGTTTTGTTTGTAGCATGGTGACGTTTGTGAACATTCTTAAGTGGATCATCATGATTCCTCTATGTAAATTACTGCTCCTGTAAAAACAATACATTTCCTTTACTTAGAAAAAAGCCACCTGGTGGGGAGGCTGGGGGTGGGCATCAGAGCTCAGTGGGAAGAGGTGTCCCTGTGGTAGATAGTCGAGAACAGGAGTCACTTGGACAGGAGGCGTGTGTCTGTGAGGCTGAGTCAGTGTGATGGGAGATTGACTAGTTGTGGTACGGAGAGTGGATTCGTTCAAGAGAATGGGAACCAGGTATAATCAGGGGAAAAGGAGAGAACAGAAGCACTGAGTTATTGGGTTAGAATGGGACATATCCGCACAACTCATGGTTCTAACATCTGGTGAGTCACAGAACTCAGTAGAAAAGTGTGGGTATGTGTGTGTGTCCTATGTGCAGAGCACGCTTACACCCCTGGCTCTACTCAGGCCCAGGAGCACTGGCAGGCACAGCTTTCCAACAGCACTCAGAGCTCCATGGCCAAACACAGCCCTCCACTGAATGGAGCCAGGCGTCTCAGAGAAGAGGCTGAGTCCAGGGCTGCAGAAGGGAGAGGCCCAGACTAATTTGTTAGGCCTGGTCGTGTAGAACGCAGCGAGTGCTCATAGGATGGTGGGGTTGCATTGTAGGGAGCTGAACCCTAAGGACTCTCACACCAGCCTGGGGACACCTTGAGCGTCAGAATAAATAATGCGAACGGATTGAAACACACTGGACACAGTAAAACAATCTTGAGCCTATACTAATGAAATTGTAAACAAATAAAGTGAAAGTTTGACAAGAAGAGGCTGTTTTCCTCATGTCAAACTTCCCTTCTCACAGAATACTAATTAGAGAGTAGAGCAGCTCCAGAGTAGAAGTGTTGATCAGGGGTCAGAGCTTCTAAGAAGCTACTGCAGCAACAGAGACGAGGGGCATGGGCCAGTGTGGCAGGAGTGGAGACAGAAGAGAGGGTCCGTAGGGCACACAGTAACCCCTGATCCGCTTGCTGGCCTGTGGGGAGGAGCTGAAGCAGTGCTTCTGTGATGCTCCTGCCTGGTGGACATGTCAGTCTCCACATGGCCTAACTGAGGTCCTCATTTCCCTTTCACTCTGCTTCACTGGGGCCTTCTGCCTCTCAGGGACATCAGCCCCACTTCTGGATCAGGCCCAAAGCCTCGGAGTCACCTTGTCCGTCCCTCCCTCCCTGCCTCCCTCCTTCCCCTTCTCCAGCTCCAGGCCAGGAGTCCTGTTGGTTCTGCCTTCAGGATCTGACTGCTCTTCTGTCTCCACTGCTGCCACGCTGGCCTGTGCCCCTTGTCTCTGTTGCTGCAGTAGCTTTTTAGATGTTTCTTTGCTTCTGTTCTTGTTTATGATCCAAACAGCAGCCAGATTGTGCCTCTCTTCCGCTCAGAGCTCTACAGGGGCCTTGTGCCACCCAAAGAGACAGCCACAGTGCTCATGGTGGCCCCAAGGCATTGCATGATCTTCTCCATGGCCATCTGGTCCTTTGTTACTCAAGTCCAGCCACGCCACAAGTTGCATGTGCTTTCAAACTTGTTTGCCCACAGTGTATTTTATCAGCTATCCCATTCTCTCACCCCCTTCAGTTTTGTTTTTGCTTTGTTTTTTCTCTAAATCTCAACTTTTCAATGAGCCCTACCTCGACTGCCATACTTATTATTGAATCCATATGTCCTCCCCATCTCCAGTCCTCCTTACCTTGCTTCATGTTTCTGAAGCACCAATAGCCTTTATTATACACTCACATTTAATATTTCATTGTTTATTGTCTAACTGTCCCTCTGCATTGTAAGCCCTTTGAGAACAAGAATATTTGGTTGTATTGTTCACCATTCTAAAGTGCCTCCAACAGTCCTGGCGGCATGGAGTCAAGGACTCCATTGTCATCTCCCTGGTGAATGAGCACCACCAAAGACTCGCTGAGTCAGGGTCTCTGGTGTGTGTGCTCACAGAAGCCCTGGGGGTGATTCTGGTGGTGTAGTGGTTGCTTCACGGTAGTCTTGATGGTGTGCTGGGCACTCCAGGGGTGTTCTGATGATCCCACTGGTGAAGAACCACAGATCGAGAATGAGGGATTGGGAACCTAACTCATACAGCATATGTTTAGTGATTAGCTCGGTGGAGACATCAGCATTTTACAGATGAGTGGAATCTCACACTGAACCGTCAGAACAGGGGATGTTGCAGAAGTTGGGGAAAGAATTTCAAGAAGGAAACAGTGCTTGTGACCTTGAAATACTATAGAAGGTCAGGTTCAGATTGCATCTGAACAATATCTGATGAATTTGTTTACAAGAAGAGCCTTTTTACCACTACAATGAGGAGCAGAAATCCTAATGCAGAAAGTTAAGATAAACATTGATATAGAAGTAAGATGATGTGTTATAAGTTTACTTAGAAAGCTTTTGGAAAGAGCAGAAATTCCTGAGGAAGTTTATCCTCTAAGAGTCAGAAGCTAGAGGAGAAGCTGACATGGAAGGTGAAGAGTGTAGTCACCCGTGAAGCAAGGTCCTTGGTTCCAGCAGGAGTAGCTGTGGCAGGAGAACCACGGTGTCCACTGGTGGCTCTGTCTGGTCATGAATATAGAGGGAGTTTACCCTTCTTTTTCCACTCAGGTATTTTCTCGGGCTAAGGAGCTGTGGGGCCATGGTAAAAAGCTTGGGAAGAGCCTGACAGTGATCAAGAACAGGAACAGAGATCCAAGATATAGGGCCTAGCATTTTGTCAACTGAAAGTATGTGACAGCTTTGTGGAAAGTTAGCAGAGGTTAAAGGTGGCCTTGTTTTAATTCATTATCATTTTGCAGAGATACTTTATGGAATGATTTGGAGATGATGGCTCTGTTGACACTAATTACAGTCAACATCTAAGAGTAGCCCTGCATTAGCTCATGGAGACGAGAAGGGCTTCCTTTCTGATTGGATTAGGGAGATGGTCACAAATGTCAGGTATCTGGGAAGGCACTTTTGTTTTGCTGCCACCACAATGGCAAGAGATGTATTGCCCTGAAGATGTAAGTTTTATAAAGTAGTGCTCCACTTTGGAAGGGGACATTTCTGAAACTGCCCTTCAGTTCTGAAAGGGCACTTTTCAGACTGCTCTGCTACTATGCTTTTTAAACTCAGGGCCTTATTTTAAGCAACCCTCTGACAGCATTAACTTCACTGTGTTTTCTGATCTTTCTGGCGTCTCTGGGGCCAGTCACAACAACAAAGTGGAACAGATTCTAGTCGCTTTTGCTGAAAAAGCAAGCATTATACTTATGGTAACCATGTATTTAGGATTTTCTGGTCCTTGTGACTTTGCCCTATACACTAACTCTTTTTGTCAGATCATAGGTTCTGGGTTTTGATGTGGAAACTGTTGGCCTTTGTTGCCAGGCATGTGAGAAAGTGAAGAAGAGAGAGGTGCAGGTAGGTGAGAGTTGAGGAATGCTTCACAGGGCAAATGGCAGTGGAGGTTTGCTGGGAGTTGCTGTGTGAGTTTGCCATGCAGAGTATGTAGAGGGTACCCTAGGGAGAGAGCACCCTGTGCAGAGAGGTGTGGGACCCTGAAGAGGTGTTTGATGTTTAGGAAATGAAGAAGGTAGGGAAACAAGTGTGTGTCAAAATATGTCCCAGTCAAAGGATCCTGGGATAGCAGTCCAGGGCCTGGAGTGGTGGGAGTTTGGATTTGAACCTGGCGTGGGCATTGGAAGGAATGATCGTGATCTGGACAGCGTTCTCATTTGCTTGGAGAAGGGTGCTGAGACCACCACCCTCAGAACTGGCCCTGAACCTGAGGCAGGACCTGGCCCTCTGCTTTTCCAGGACGGGTGCTGTCCCCTCAGTAGAGCTGATTCCTAACGCTTGTCTCGGATTTACTGAACACAGGAGGTTTCCTGGTCCTTTGGCTTTTAAGTAGGAATACACTTCTGATTATTGCCACAAGATGGCATTGGCCTCAAAGTTGCTGTAGTATTTTGGGCATTTAGTGTTATTCTTTTTCCTCTTGCTCTTTTTTACTTTTATTTTTATTTTTTTTGGTAGCAGGGATTGAACTCGGGACCTTGGGCTTGCGAGGCCGGCGGTAGAACCACTGAGCTAAATCCCCGACCCGACTCTTAGATTTTCTTACATTTATTTTTACATTCTTCCAAAATTTAGTGGAATAGATATTAAAGTTTTATCTCTAAAGTTAGTGAAGTTTTCTTTGCCATTTTATTCCTTTAAAATGTTAAAAATTAGTATTTGTCATAACCTTTTAAATATTTCAGAAATGTATGACTGAGGAAGTGAAACCCCCTTACAGTCCCACTGTCCTGTGGTTGGGACTGTTACACAGTATGCTGAATTTTTTGTGTGCTTCTCTTTTCTTTTCTTTTTTTTTGGTACTGGGGATTGAACTTGGGATCATGCGCTTTCGAGGCAGGTGGCGGACCCACTAAGCTAAATCCCTGGCCCTTCTTTTCTTAATTATATACATGTTTTTTTGGGGGGGTGAGGGGGGCATGTTTTATGTTTATTGCCCATGTTTGTCTTCAGTTTGATTTGTTGACTTAATTTATTTTAGGTATTTTCCATATTTGAGCTATCTTATTTTTAAAAATGACAAAAGTAGCATTGTTAGTGTTGTTTTAATACTGCAGTATTGTTAACAGTTCCTTGCTATTTGGTACTGTTATTTAACCTTAGCTCCTTATAAGAGCTATCTGGCCAGCAGCTTCCCCCTCAACCCCTCCCTATAGCCATTTTATTTATTTATTTACAGGAATAATTTTTTTATAAATAACAATTTTAACTGCTTATATTTGGATGGTAGAATAATAAATGATTTTTTGATTTCCTCCTTCTTGATCATTTATAGTTCTTTTATTAACATGTATTAGTTGTATATATTAATGGTGTTCAGTGTGATATTTCAACATGTATAAAGCATGCACTGTCCCATTGGGGTAATTGGCATTTTCCTATCCTTGTTGTGAAGTAACCATTTTAAATTAATTTGTTTTCCAAGTGTTGATTTGCTTTTACAAGTGTTTTTTTTTTTTTTTTTTTTTACCTGCAACAGTTGTTGCATTGCTGTTAGTATGCATTGTTAAAGTTGTTAATTCACTGCCATTGTGGAATGAAAACTTAAAAGAGGAGTGCACCACTGTTGTAGAATGTGTGAAGAGCCGTACCTTCAGCATGTGTGTCTTCTAGTCTCCTTGTGAGAGTTAATGGCTTTGTCAGGGAGCCAGGTTGTGAGAGTTTGCACAGTTCAACACTGGGATTACATCTGATTTGTGGTCTCTCAACTGCATATATTTAATGAGATTCTGATGTGCTTTTTTGATTAAAAATTGGAAGAGTTTGTGCTCTTTGCTCTGTTTCCATGTCCCCTGCTTTTCCAGACACAAGTGACCATGGCTTCTCTCTCTTGCAGGTTGTTTCTGAGCACCTTCACTCTTGCTGTTTCAGCTGGGGCTGTTCTGCTTTTACCCTTCTCAATAATCAGCAACGAAATCCTGCTGTCTTTTCCTCAGAACTACTATATTCAGTGGCTGAATGGCTCCCTGATACATGGTTAGTATATGTTGCTTAATGTAATCATGATTCATATTTTAATTTTTTTACTGCACAGTATTTTTAGATTTTTTTCTGTTTTTAATTTCCTTCATAGTTTACAACTTCCTCCAGTAAACTTTTGGGGTCCTTAGTAGAGTTAGAAAATGGGATTTGACTTAATATTCTTGTTATTAGTTGTGACTCTTTCACTTAATCAAGAAGCAGTTTTTAGATTTACTCTGATATGAACAATACATTTTCATATAAATATTTAGGAAGAGAATTTGGTTTATCTGTTTATGTCAGAAGACCTCATTCTCCATTGATACCTGGAAAACCAGAGCCCATAGTTCCTGTTAGGTTTTCTATTAGATTCCTTCATCATTTAAAAATATATAATAAGAGAGGAAAAATATACTCCATCAAGTACAAATATTAATGTGATTTAAGAAAAATAATGACTGACTTAGTGTGGATAACAAGGTTTATTGCTTTGAAGCCAAGAAAACCTGGCCTCCAGTTTCAGCTCAGCTATTCTCTAGCACACTGGGGAGTCACCTGTCATTGTCTGTATCAGCTAGATCCACAGCGGAACAGATTTAATATAAAATATATATGGTATATAAAAGATTTACTAGATAGGCTTAGATTGACTACCTGCAGAGTCAGGTATGGAAGAACCAAAAAGGCCACCTGCATGCTGAAGATCCAGAGGATCCATGAAGAGTCTAAGGTCTGGAACTCACTGCAGAGTCCTGTGTGAGTTCATATCAGGAAGCTAGAGGGTCTGCACTAGAAGGCTGAAGAGTCTGCACTGGAAGCCCAGAGACAGATGTCCAAAGGTGATGGTGAAGACTGGAGCTCCTCCAAAGAAGCAGAAGTGAGACTTCCTTCTTGCCTTTTTAATTCCATGCAGGCTGCACACCTTTTGGTTGGTGCCTCCCACACCCAGGGTGGGTCTTCTGTCTTGAGTAAGTCCATCATCCGCACACTGTGCTAAACCAATCAGCAGGGTGTTTCTTATTCAGGTTGACACTACAGTTCACTGTCATGGTGTCTGACCTCGGTTTCCTCTTCTCTTAGTATCAGTAAAACTCACCTTACAGCTTGTTTTAAGAAATATACCTTGGGCTGGGAATTAAGCTCAGTGGTGCTGCCATCTGCCTTAAAAGCACAAGGTCCTGAGTTCAATCCCCAGTACAAAAAACCCCCCCAAAACAACTATATATACATATATATATGTATATATAGTTTATATATATATAGTTTATATATATATAAATGTTTCTTAATAGGTATTAAGGTGGTAGCTATTATTATAGTTATCTAGGCTGGGATAGTTTTTTCTTTATTCTTTGAAGAGTTTTACTATTTTTTATGTATTAATTTAGTTTGGGTATACTGAACTCTTCTCACTTAGAACATGCTGGTATAATTCTTTTATAATTATCTATTAGCATTGATTATAACTTTCAGAATTTTTATGTATTTCTTGTTCATCTTGCCCATACTGTCCCCATTTTGTTAGTATTAATTTTTGTGGCTGGTTACTATAATGTTATTAGTTATTTTATGAGTGTCATTAGTTATTGGTGCTATTAGTGTTAATCGTTAATTTTATTATAGATGTGTAATTTGATAGATATATGGTAAGTTAGATGCATTTTTTAAAAATATCAAAGACAAGTGACAAAATTAGGACATCTCATATCCTGACATTTTCATATGGACCCAAATCATTTTCCCCCATACCAATGAAGAAACATTTCATCATGAGTGAAGGCAGTCTTTTTGTGAAACGTATCTTGAAAAATAGTTCTAGTATTTGCTGTGTATTTCAATTCCTGCATGCCATTTTTAAAGGTAAAAGTTTTCTGCTAATTTTTTTCTTCTTTGAGTTAATGAAAATATCCTCCTTTAACAATACTTAGGTAACTTGTCATTTGACCTAGAAAAAATATATCTGTAATATCTTGTTTCCATTCAGTTTATAGTGTAGGTCATTGAATTTGGAATTCCAGCATTGATATAAAGAAGTGGAAGAACTTGCCTATTTGTCTGTGATCATGACTCACTGCTTGGGTTATGAAAGGCTTTGCTGCCTTAGACTGATGTAACTTCTCTTTTAGTTTGATGCATGTTCTTGATGTAGTAATCCAAAAGAACAGGGAAATGTTTTCCATGCTGGTCAGTGTTCTTTGAAAACATTTCAGTAGCTGTAACATGAGCTGGGTGCATATGTGCATTAACCTAGTGGTCTTCAGAGGTCCTCTGATGGACCCAAGGAGTGGGACCGTTTAGTCTTCCAGTGACTTAGTACATGGATTTTTTTCAGGTCTGAAATAGACAGTGGTTGAGTTGTCCCTGAGGTACTGTGTGGCTCCATCATCTTTGTGCAGCACTTTACTTAACTGTGCTTCTGTTGTTGGGTACCTAGAGGGCTTTCCAATTGTAATTACTATTTGGGTTCTGGTAATTTCCTTAGATGATAATTAGGATGAAAATTATAAGGCTAATGAATATTTGTGCCAAAATATTTTCTAGAATTACCTGTTTATATTCTAACAGAGGTTGAAGGTGCCTTTTGGCTTTAACCAAAAACTCAGCAACATTGAATATCAGTGTCTTTAAAATGTTTATATGAATGGAAAGTGGTTTTCTCATTTTAATTAAAAAAATTTTTTAGTTTGGTAGGACATTTTAATTTTGTTTTGTAAAAGATATAAAAACATCTATTACATATATCTATAGAAGTATGCATGACATACATCTGCATACATATAGATATATGTATTACATATATCATCTATTAATTATATCTGTGTATTACATCTATGTTACATCTATGTATTACATATCTATAATCAGCTTTTCTTCCAACTTCTATAAATGTTTTTCTAGTTGTTATTTTGCATTTTAATTTTATTTGCTCTTTTTATTTCCAGAATTTTCATATATTTATATTGTCTGGCCTTTTTCTTCATTTGGTTTCCCTAATTATCTTTGTGTTTAGAAGATCCTTTCCTGTCCTGAGATGTGATGGAGACTCACTTTTTTCTTTTCTTTTTAATGGTTTGGTTTAAACTTAACTATTTAATCCATCTGGAATTTATACATGTAATGTTTTTTCTTTCATCCCTTCCCAAAGTTAGGTTATTGTCCCAGTACCATGAATTGAATATTTCTTCTTTTCTCTACTGCTTTTTAATGCTGTATTTTTTAGTTAGTAAATTATTACATTAGAGTCTTTTAAGTGAACAGTTTTTAGAGTCAGATAGCTCTGGGGTTTGAATTTCAGCTCAGTATTTTATTAACAGCAACTTTCAGCAGTTTTTTCCTATGTTCAGCCTTTTATCTATAAAATGGACATAATAAAGCCTAGTTGTTAAGAGTTTTTATATGGGGTTATGGGGTGAATGCAGTATGTATATAGTGTCTACTACTTACTTAGTCTAATGCCTGGTCCAGACTAAACAAGAAGCAAAGGCTGGGTCTCACTTCCTGTTCCTTCCCACTGGTTTGTCTGTCTGTCTTTTCATATGCCAATGCCAATTTTTTTTTTTTTTTTTGTATTGGGGATCGAAGCCAATGTTGTTTTAAAGACTATAGTTTTGTAGGACTTTTTATGTTTTAAATTTTAAGTTAACACCTTTTTTGAAGATTTTCATAAGTAATGCATACATTCTATTTCTGTCGCATACAATTTTTTTTTTTTCTTTTTTGGTAGCAAGAATCAAACTCAGGGCCTCACACTTGCCAGGCAGGTTTTGTACCGCTGAGCTACATCCCCAGCCCTGTCACATATAATTTGGAGACATGATGATGCTAAGGAAATTTGTTCTTGTTTCTTATAAATAAGGTGTGTGTGTGTGTGTGTGTGTGTGTGTGTGTGTGTGTGTTTGTGACTGTTTAAAGAAAGACACATTGGGCTGGGGATTTAGCTCAGTGGTTTCACTGCCTGCTGCGCAAGTTCAAGGACCCAAGTTCGATCCCCGGTACCAAAAAAAAAAAAAAAGTTGAAAAAAATAAAGAAAGATGCATTGGATTTGGAAATTTGGAAACCCCAAATCACAGCTAGCAGCAGCTGTATCCAGGTTGGCCTCAGTGAGTGGAAGTCCATGTTGCTGAGCCTATGCTGAACTTCCATTTCTGCCACCATGGTCACTATGTTCTTGAGCCCACTGGATGATGATGATGGGATGGCTGGGGAAGGGGAGGGTACTTGTATCTATAGTCCTCTTGTCTTTTGGGTCATCCTGTCTTCTTGATTATTAAAAATCCTCCTTTGTGTGGAGGGAGGTATCCTTTGGTGAGCATTTACATGGGACTCAGTTATCTTTACCTTTTCTTTTGTCCATTCAGAGAAATTTGTCTACGTCACTTCTATACCTGATTTCCTTGTCACCAATTTTCCAATTATGTTTCTTCCAAATCTCAGGCCATCTAGTCAAACCGTTGGGCACAGCCCATTAGATGGTATATAATTGCATATTTGACCATTTCTCTTGCCAAGTGAAAGGAATATCCAGATTTGCTGCCCATTGTTCTACCCCCTAAGAGGATTTTCCTTGACCTCTTCCCTTCAGGGATGCCCTGGAGAGCAGCTGTAGTGCTATAGCTGTCCTCTTTCAGGTGGTACCTATAACCCAGGCCCAGGTCTGCTCTTTATCTGCCGTCTGATCTTAGGGAACTCCTGTGAAGCCAGTAGATGCCAGTGGGGAGAGAGGAGGCAGTGTCATGGGAGTGTACACCATGGTCATTTGGGCCACTTCTTCATGAGCTTGTGCCTTCCAGACGTGCTCAGGCCTGATCACACATCACTATTTCTGTTTGATGATAGAATGCTGCTGGCACATCTGATTCTTTAAACTGAAGAGTCATCAAGTATCCATTTCCTGATGGGCAAATCAGGACACATGGTAACTTGGCCCATGGGTAAAGTCTCTGCTGAAGTCCAGTACCAAGCCAAGAGTTGTTTCTCAAAAGGAGAGTAGTTGTCCAAAGAGGATGGCAAGGCA